AATGCAAATCTTTTCTCAGTGTTCATTTCTAGAAACTGCTTGACAACAAAGTCATATCAGTGCAAAATTGGTCTATTTTCAGTCCGGCTCAATCGGCCGCCCTTTTTTTAATTTTCTGTTGTTCTATCTGGAGCTGCTGTAGCGAGCAAGTGTGGGATCAATAAATAAATAAATATCTAATCAGTAATCAGTGAATTGTTCCCCTCTAAAATCAGTATCTGTCTCAAAAAATCCAGATTAGTCGGGCTCTAGACTACCACAGTATTGTAAAGGACACAAAGAAACAAGAATAAGAGTCAGTTCAGTCCAATTTATCAACAACAAGCAGGAGGAGGCATTAGTGCAAATGTTTATTGAGACTGTAACGTCACTCAGTGTGTTTGTATTGCAATACCTGTTCTGAACATCTTAATCCTGCCCCTGACAAACACCTCCATATAATAATAAAAATAAATAGTACTGAAACTAAAACTAAACAGTTTTAAACGATAAAAACTAAACTTAAACAAACTAACTCTGGAAACAAATTGAAACCAAACTGAACACAATAAACTTCACATATAGTTATTTACTTGTGAAAAATAAAACGTATTCCTGAAGCTACAATAACGCTGTAATTACAAAAAACCCATCAACAACATGTAATCACTCGTACTGTACAGGGCTGAGGGTTGTAGTTCTTCCTCGTTCTCATCAACATCACGTCTTGCGTCTCTTCTGGGATGTCTCATCCAGCCGCGGCAGTCTGAAGGAGAAGTGTCTGAAAACAGGAGTCCCAGGTAGGCTTTGAGCTGTGTTTGTTATTAATTCATGTTATTGTTAATATTCTGCTGCAGGTTTTCTGTATCTGTATGGTTACTTGGTTATTTGCCGTCAGTCTGTTTTGAATGTGTTTGGATTCTGCTGCAATCACAGTGTTTTGCAGGTGGTGGAATATGAATGAGAAGAGAGTGAAAGCAGTGAAAAGTGAATCTCAGTTTGGTTCACATAGACTTCAGCTTTGATCAATGCATGTTAGTAAGAAAAGTAATGAATAAATTAGTTATCAAAAGTCATCCTTCTTCTGTCAGTTCAATTACTGAATCATTTTCTGAATCATTTGCATTTTTATCTCTATAATCTTACTGAAATGTCCACTGCAGACTTTGTTCTGATGATAATTTACAGTTTGAGAGATTCATTTGAAACAATAACGACGGTTAAAATTCAGTGTTAAACATAGAAAGTGCTCTGTGACATTTTGGGATCACTGCAGGAGTAAATGTACAGTATATATGTGTGTTGAAGTGTTGGATAGATGGTGTTCTTGTGCGCGTTGTTGAGTGCAGAGGAATGTTAGAAGTCATGGATCATCAGGGTGATTTCACTGATCCCAGAACAGATGTGACCTGATGTTTACTGTTTGCTGCTAACTTTAGAATTCATTGCTCATGGGAAACATTGTTTACTGTGTGTGTGTGTGTGTGTGGGGTGTGTGTGTGTGGTGGGTGTGTGTGTTGTGTGTGGTGTGTTGTGTGTGTGTGTACACGTACTCCAGCCTTCCATCTGCGGCTTATGCTTGGTCAAGCTTGGATCGTGACTTGAGATCAGGTTGTTTCCATCGTGGCTAAAAACGTGCAGCGTGCTGCGAGCAGTCGTGATCGGAGCGTGTGATGTGGGAACAGGAACAGTGCGGTTAAAGGCGTCTCTTACCTTGATGACATGTTGGAGGTTTGAGGTTTGATGACATATTGGAGGTTGAGCAGTCGTTTACTACCCACAGTGATTAAAGTCACAATAAAAGCTGGTGCAATTACTAAACACCTGAAATTGATACTGGACTCTGAACAGCAGTTTAACTTGTT